TTTTTTTTTTTTGGAGACGGGGTGGGGTCTCTCTCTGTCACCCAGGCTGGAGCGCAGTGGCGAGATGTCAGCTCACTGCAAGCTCCGCCTCCTGGGCTCATGCCATTCTTCTGCCTCAGCCTCCCGAGTGGCTGGGACTACAGGCCCCTGCCACCACGCCTGGCTAATTTTTTGTAGTTTTAGTAGAGACAGGGTTTCACCGTGTTACCCAGGATGGTCTTGATCTCCTGACCTCGTGATCCGCCCGCCTTGGCCTCCCAAAGTGCTGGGATTACAGGTGTGAGCCACCGCGCCCGGCCTAACCAGTGCTTTTCAAACCTTTACACGCATTTAAGTGTGCATAGAGAACGAGAGGCAGCATGTACAGAAGAGTCAGGTACTTTTTTTTTTTTTGAGATGGAGTTTTGCTCTTGTTGCCCAGGCTGGAGTGCAATGGTGCCATCTCAGATCATTGCAATCTATGCCTCCTGGGTTCAAGCAAATCTCCTGCCTCAGCCCTCCAAGTAGCTGGGATTAGATGTGTGCCACCACGCCTGGCTAATGTTGTATTTTTTTTTTTAGTAGTGATGGGATTTCACCATGTTGGTCAGGACGGTCTCGAACTCCTGACTTCAAGCAGTCTACCCGCCTCGGCCTCCCAAAATGCTGGGATTACAGGCATGAGCCACTGTGCTCAGCAGAGCCAGGTACTTTGATCTGTATTCAAGGCCCTGGCATTCCTCAGTAAATGCTTGAAGAAAACATATAAAGTATCTAGTAGCCAGTAAGATACTTCATGTTACTTCCTTGCCCACTTCCTCTCAGTACACTGATTAAAAAAGAGTCAATGGATAGAACTTGAGAGTATCTAGATGGGAGATATCTAAAAGGGAAGATGGAAATAGGACAAGGCCCTCAATAGATCGCGGGAAATTCAAGCACATGAGAACCTAGGGTAGGAGGTCAAACTCTTCTTGAAAATAGCAGACTATGTAAAGACAGACCTAAAGTACAGGGAAGGAAAGTTAGGAGAGTTTATATTTAGTGGGAGAAGAGTGGAGAAGAGAAGCAGGGGATCTTTAATAAGACACCTCTGCAGCCGGGTGCGGTGGCTCACGCCTGTAATCCCAGCACTTTGGAAGGCAAAGGCGGGCAGATCACCTGAGGTCAGGAGTTTGAGACAAGCCTGGCCAACATGGTGAAACCCTCTCTCTACTAAAAATACAAAAATTAGCCAAGCGTGGTGGCACATGCCTGTAATCTGACCTACTCGGGAGGCTGAGGCAGGAGAATTGCCTGAGCCCGGGAGGCGGAGGTTGCAGTGAGCTGAGATTGTGCCACTGCACGCCAGCCTGCCAGACAGAGCGAGACTCTGTCTCAAAACAAAACAAAAAATAGAAATCTCCGCTAGGAAAAGAAAGATTAGATGGAAAATAAAGGTGTTGTAGAGGTTGGAATATGTAAACTCACAATTGCTTCAACAGCAGTTCTGAAAGTGTTCCCCAGAAGCACTGAGCAACATGGATGTGCAAAGAAGGTGGATGTTTGGATTTATCCAGGACTGGGAGTTGGCAAGATATGAATGGGCAAGGAAAGGAGAAAAGTGATCTGAGAGTGAATGCTCTTTAAGTGTCATTGAAGTGAGTGACTATAGAGTACAGGTGAGGTAGAGAAGGAAGTGAAGTAGAAAGAAGTTCACAGAGTGAACAGAGAATGGTTGATGGTTTTAAGATCTCGCCAAGTTCAGAAGGTGGTTTATGGCAACGTAACTGGCATTCATTTTTCTGTGTTAATAGCTATGACTACAGATCAAATGAAGAGTCTTGATTATTCTACAGGTAAAATGACTGCTAAAAGTCCCCAATTTGGCTGGGCGTGGCAGCTCATGCCTGTAATCCCAGCACTTTGGGAGGCTGAGGCGGCTGGATCACCTGAGGTCAGGAGTTCGACACCAGCCTGGCCAACATGGTGAAACCCCATCTCTTCTAAAAAAAAAAAATTAGCCAGGCAATGTGGCAGGCATCTGTAATCCCAGCTACTTAGGAGGCTGAGGTAGGAGAATGGCTTGAACCCGGGAGGTGGAGGTTGCAGTGAGCCAAGATTGTGCCATTGCACTCCAGCCTGGGCAACAAGAGTGAAACTCCATCTCAAAAAAAAAAAAAAATTCCCAATTCAACGACAAACATTTTTGTTATTGACAAAGGCAAGATAAAAATGACAAATGAATGATGAAGAACACCAGGCCAAAATTAATTTGATAGGCAAGGAACAAATCTACTTAAGCAATTTTTATACTTAAAGGTAGATATTTTAATTTGTTTCTATAGTCAGTGTTAGGTTTTTAAAAATAATGTTTTTTAAAGTATGGGTTCATAAAGTTCAAATTTCCATACTATAACATCAACAGTCATGATTTTAACAGGTTTCTTCATCACTATTAAAATGGGAAATTTAAACTATTTTAAAAGTTACTAAAGACAGCATCCAACTTTTCAAAGATTTAGGTTGAATGCTTGGGTGAGGATTTCTCATACAAGTATATGGTAAATAGATCCTAAGTAATATGCTACAGAACCAATCAAGCAAAACATGTTTCTAAGGGAAACATAAACTTCATGTTGGGATGTCAACAAATCAAATATTGAAATCAGCATTTTTTTGGTCCTACCTCTTGGGCCACAGATGACTTCAGTGGCTTGGGTCTAGAAATTATAGGAAATGGGTAACAAGGTCAGGGTTAAGGCACTAAAAAGCGAATTAGTGCTTGATATTAAGCCTTTGGTTACTTTTCAGTCAGGCCCTCTTAGGCTAACACTTTCTTTCCTTTAATCAGGGAGATTAAAGATGCCTACTTACTTTGCATTGAAGCACCTACTGTCTTCAAGGGGGGTGGTGATGTGGGCGGGAAGTAAAAGGGCATTTTTCCATGCTTTTGTACTTGAGGTAAGAAAACAACCCTTTTAAGATTGTCACTATCAATGATGAGGAAATATAATAAGGTTCAAAAGCTCCCTTCTAAAATACCCCATACACTTTTTCCGCTTCCCAACTGGAAACGGAATGCGGTACCCAGACACTAACCAGTTTGGGGCACACAAATGTTACAAGGGAGAAAAAAAGAATTTAGACCAGCATGTGAATTTCATTAAGCAAAGACACCTTGGTTAAAAAGCAAAACTTGGCCGGGTGCAGTGGCTCAAGCCTGTAATCCCAGCACTTTGGGGGGCCGAGACGGGCAGATCATGAGGTCAGGAGATCAAGACCATCCTGGCTAACACGGTAAAACCCCATCTCTACTAAAAAAAAAATACAAAAAACTAGCTGGGCGAGGTGGCAGGCGCCTGTAGTCCCAGTTACTCAGGAGTCTGAGGCAGAAGAATGGTGTAAATCCAGGAGGCGGAGCTTGCAGTGAGCTGAGATCCGGCCACTGCACTCCAGCCTGGGCCATAGGGCGAGACTTCGTCTCAAAAAAACAAAAAGCAAAACTTGTGAGGTGGAGAGGAAGGAAAAAAGGAAAACGTAAGAAAAAGGACTGGAGTGCTTACTGTTTATCATACCAGCCTTTTCATAGAAGACTTCAGTGAGGGGGTTTCCAGGGGTGACAGTGAGATATTGTTTGCAGCAGCATTTAGGAAAAAAAGAGATTTGTGGTCTTTGGGCCAGCTAGCTAAAAGAAACTGGCTTGGAACTGCCCAGATAGTACAGTTAGAAAGTGTATGGATAAAAATTCCTGGAAGCGAGTCTTTTTTATTGATGGAATAAACACAACATTGATGATAGTAGGGTAGAGCTGGTGGTAATGTCCTGTCACTGCAATTATGACATTCAAATCAGACCTACATAACTGTGGCTTCTTTTGATTCTTTCAACTTTGAATTTTGATTATCTGTACAGAGGGGCTTCTAAATGAAAACGAATTCACTTGCATCACCCCTATTCACCTATTTATTCTGTTCCTGGAGAATAACAAATTTTTTTAAAGGTGGTTAAGGCTAAAAGACAAAAAAATTGACTAAAATAAGCTATGAGGCCCAATCAAGAATGGCTTAACATTATTCATTTTCTTCTTTGAACATCTTACTTAAGTGCTTTATTAGGGCTACTAGCTCAGGGTTCCCACCACGTGCGTCAATCTGTTTATAGGCTTTAGATTCAAGCTCTCTAAGAGTATTACGAGTGTATTCAAAAGAACCTACATCCTCAAGATAATGTACACAGTATTTTTTAATATCTATGTTTTCTGTTCTCTGGCGCAAGATATTCTGCACCTGGGTACTTTCAGGCCTCGACCAAATAGCATGAATAGTAGGAAATGAGAACTTTCCCTCTGTTAGATCTTCACAAAAACTTTTGTTTTCACTATATTCTTTGGAGTGCAGATTAGCATAATCATCCCTAATTTGGAAAAAGAGCCCAAGTGTATTAAGAAGTGGTTTTAAATCTTCCTTGTAATCAGAGAACAACTGCATGAGACCTACTGCTAATCCAAATAGTCCACCTGTTTTCTGCAGCACCATAGCTTTATATTCTTCTTCAGTGGGACAAGTGTAATTATCCCTCCAGTAAATATCTAGGCCTTGTCCCTGATGGAGTTCCAAAAGCTGGCGCGTAAAAAGCTTCACTGCATCTGGGTGATCAAGGGTTAAGACTTTCTCCAAGCCAAGGAAATATACGTAATTTGCAGAATTGATGACAGACGGGATTCCATAGATGCTGTGGGCCACTGGAAAGCCACGTCGGAGTTTTGAGTTGTCTTCAATATCATCGATGAGTAAACTGGCATTATGCAACATTTCTGTCACTTCAATAATAATCTAATAAAAAAGAATTGAAAATTTCACTTATTTGAACTATTCAAAACATATACTCAGTTTAATTAACAGATTATGAAAGTCTCAGGTGTTAATTTTCACAATAAATATTTAGCAACCTCAATATAAAATAATATCTTGCATGAAGACTAAATTCAATCAAGAACTAGGAATATTTTTATGTGACAGCTATTAATTTCTTGGGGATTAACAAGATTAGAGTTGCCTAATACCTGTAGCTTGTCCTCTGGAACTTTCAGCCAATGATTAAATGCCTGTGAAAGTTTGGTTCTCACTTGTTTACCTGCAATTTAAAAATAAAATGTGACAATAAGATGAGTGTTTTGAGTATTTTAACTACAAAAAACACATTCAGAAACTTCCTTTAAATTGTTCAGACTTGCTAAATCCAGCGTCATCAATCCATTACCTACTGCAGAGCTTGCCTTGTACTGTTCAACACCCCATTCTCAATCACTCTGAAATCCGGATCATAAAATGCACAACCTTCTAAAATTAGGGCAGGCATGGGAGACTCTAAAGTACTTCAGTGGCCTACTAGTCCACTCTTTTCATCTGAACTTGAATAAACAATTTTAAAGTAGGATGGGCTTTTAGGACTTATGACTTAATTTGTTCCTTTTTTTGAAAAGGAAGCTTGTTAATTAATTAATCAATTGAGACACAGTCTTGCTCTGTTGCCCAGGCTGGAGTGCAGTGGCACGATCATGGCTCACTGCAAACTCCACCTCCTGGGTTCACATGATTCTCATGCCTCCGCCTCCTGAGTGTCTGGGACTATAGGCACACACCACCATGCCTGGCTAATTTTTGTATATTTTGTAGAAAGGGGGTTTTGATACATTGCCCAGGCTAGTCTTGAATTCCTGAGCCCAAACGATCCACCCGCCTCCGCCTCTCAAAGTGTTTGGATTACAGGTGTGAGCCACTGCGCCAGGCCAAGCAGCTAGTTTAGTGTCAGTTAATTGGCGCTGCCTATTTTACATAACTATAGGCATTGTTAATAAAATATATTTTACTATTTAATTACTTCAAAAAATTACCTCTTGAAATATCTATTTCTCCTTTAAGTTAAGGCTTTAGAGATGTGGAAGCTCTGCTTCTTTCCTTTCAAAAATGAGATTATCACGCACTGAAGTATTCCCTTTTAAAATCCTGAGTTTAGTTAAAAGCTAATCTCATTATTTTGACTAGGGGCCTTCATTTTCCAGCATCTTCTTTTTTTCTTTCTTCCTTTTTTTTTTTTTTTTTTTGAGACAGGGTCTCACTCTGTCACCCAGGCTGGAGTGCAGTGGTATGTTCACAGTTCACTGCAGCCTCCACCTCCTGGGCTCAAGTGATCCTTCCAGCTCAGCATCCTGAGTAGCTGGCACTATAGGTGCAAGCCACCATGCCCGGTTAATTTTTGTTTTTGTAGAGACAGTGTTTTCCCATGTTGCCCAGACTGGTCTCAAACTCCTGGGCTCAAGCGATCTGGCCACCACAGCCTCCCAAATTGCTGAAATTACAGACGTGAGTCACCTCGCCCAGCAGTATCATCTTTTTCTTACACAGAAAGCTCAAGATAGGTCTTTGTTTTTTTTGAGATGGAGTCTCATTCTGTTGTCCAGGCTGGATTGCAGTGGTGTGATCTCGGCTGACTGCAACCTCCGCCTCCCGAGATCAAGCTATTCTCCTGCCTCAGCCTCCCGAGTAGCTGGGATTACAGGCATGTGCCACGATGCCTGGCTAATTTAAGATAGATCTTTGGATAGAAGTTACCACTAGAAGTCATTGTAGCCATATATAAAGGAATGATAGATAAAAACCATGGCCAGTTCACTTAGTAAAAATGTTCTATAAATTTTCTGTTAAATGAATGCATGGTAATAACATCCTAATTTTAGATTAGGTTTCAGGAAAATGGTTACATAAAAAGTTAAAACTAAAACACTGTTTTTTTTTTGGAGGTGGAATTTCGCTCTTGTCACCCAGGCTAGAGTGCAATGGTGCAATCTCAGTTCACTGCAACCTCCACCTCCTGGGTTCAAGCGATTCTCCTGCCTCAGCCTCCCAAGTAGCTGGAATTACAGGCGTCTGCCACTATGCCCAGCTAATTTTTGTATTTTTAGTAGAGACGGGGTTTCACTATGTTGGCCAGGTTGGTGTCGAACTCCTGACCTCAGGTAATTCACCCGCCTCGGCCTCCCAAAATGCTGGGATTACAGGTTTTTTTTTTTCTTTTTGAGACAAGTCTTGATCTGTCACCCAGGCTAGAAAGCAATGGCATGATCTTGGCTCACTGCAACCTTCGCCTCCCGGGTTCAAGAGATTCTCCTGTCTCAGCCTCCCAAGTAGCTGAGATTACAGGTGTGCACCACTACACCTAGCTAATTTTTTGTATTTTTTTTTGAGACGGAGTTTTGCTCTTGTTGCCCAGGCTGGGGAGCAGTGTTGCGATCTTGGCTCACTGCAACTTCCACCTCCCAGGTTCAAGCGATTCTCCTGCCTCAGCCTCCCAAGTAGCTGGGATTACAGGCGTGTGCCACCAAGTCCAGCTAATTTTTTATATTTTTAGCAGAGACAGGGTTTCATCATGTTGGCCAGGCTGGTCTTGAATTCCTCACCTCAGGTGATCCACCCACCTCGGCCTCCCAAAGTGTAGGGATTACAGGCATGAGCTATCGCGGCCGGCCAATTTTTTTGTATTTTTAATAGAAATGGGGTTTCACCATGTTGGCCAGGCTGGTCTCGAACTCCTGACCTGAAGTCATCCACCTGCCTTGACCTCTCGTAATGCTGAGATTACAGGTGTGAGCCACTGTGCCCAGCCTATTATTATTATTTTTGAGACAGGGTCTCGCTCTGTCACCCAGGCTGGAGTGCGGTGGCACAATCATGGCTCACTGCAGCCTTGACCTCCTAGGCTCAAGACCCGCGAGTAGCTGGATCTACAAGAACAAGCCACCATGCCTGACTAATTTTATTTTTATTTATTTATTTTTTGTAGAGGCAAGGTTTCACCCTGTTGCCCAGGCTGGTCTCAAGCCCCTGGGCTCAAAAGCAATCTGTCTCACTTGGCCTCCAAAGTGCTGGGATAATAAGTGTGAACCACTGCACCTGGCTTATATCACTTAAACACATTTTTTTGAAGATGAACAACAGAGTCTCAATGTGGAATTTCATTTTTCACTTTATTTTTGAATGTTATATAAAAAACAGTACAATATATGGCTTAGTTTTGAGGTACTACAGTTTTAATATTTTTTTCCCCTCTGATGACATGCTAATGTTTAGCTTGATACTTTTTTTTTCTTTTTTGAGACGGAGTCTCGCTCTCGCCCAGGCTGGAGTGCAGAGGCCGGATCTCAGCTCACTGCAAGCTCCGCCTCCCGGGTTTACGCCATTCTCCTGTCTCAGCCTCCCGAGTAGCTGGGACTACAGGTGCCCGCCACTTCGCCCGGCTAGTTTTTCGTATTTTTTAGTAGAGACGGGGTTTCACCGTGTTAGCCAGAATGGTCTCGATCTCCTGACCTCGTGATCCACCCGTCTTGGCTTCCCAAAGTGCTGGGATTACAGGCTTGAGCCACTGCGCCCAGCCTAGCCTGATACTTTTAAGTTCCCCGCCCCCCCCTTTTTTTTTTTTGAGACAGGGTCTCCCTGTATTACCTAGGCTGGGGTGCAGTGGCGTGATCTTGGCTTACTGTAGCCTCGACCTCCCAGGCTCCAGTGATCATCCCACTTCAGTCCCCCAGGTAAGCTGGGAGTACAAGGGCGTGTCACATGCCTGGCTAATTTTTTGTATTTTTAGTAGAGACAGGGTTTTGCTATGTTGTCCAGGCTGGTCTCGAACTCCTGGGCTTAAGCCATCTGCCCACTTTGGTCTCCCAAAGTGCTGGGAGTACAGGCGTGAGCCACTGCGCCTGGCTAAGTTCCGAAATAATTTCTAACACTGAGGCTAATCACAGAGATCTCTCAAAATTAAAAGATTACTGCTTCCTCTTTAAGATCTAAACATTATTGTCTCTCTTTTTGGAGCCCTTCTTCCTCTACTGCCAGCTTCATCTCTCCCTAATCCCACCCTTAACCTCATCTAGGGCCCCACACTAAGGCAAATAAACATAAACATAAGATGACAGCAAGTATGAGAAATTTAAAAATAAAAATCATTTTCTTTACTACTTTCAGAAAATCTTTTTTCTTTTTTTTTTTTTTTTGAGACAGGGTCTCACTCTGTTGCCCAGGCAGTGGCGTGATCTCCGCTCACTGCAACCTCTGGCTCCTAGGCTCACGTGATTCCCATGCCTCAGCTGGAACTATGGCATGCGCTACCATACTTGGCTAATATTTATACTTTTAGAAAAGACAGGGTTTTACCATGTTGGTCAGGTTGACTTCAGAAAATTCTGATATCATTATTATTATTTACTAGCAAGAGTAATACTACAACAGTGTAAATGACCTGGCACACCTCTAAGTTACTTTAATAACTCTGAAGCTCTCTCTCTTAAAAAAAAAAGCGTGTTATGTGCATAGTGCAATGTCATATTTCTTTAGAAGTATCTTTTGAGGTTATATTCCATCATGGATCAAGAACATATTTGAATAAGAAGGTGAGGTACCTAATGATAATTTTAAGCATGTTATCTAATGCCATTATTTCCAGGTAATGAGAATTAAAAAAAAAGTCATAGAAGGTGGTCACTGCGTAAGTAAGCATTACGGTTAAAATGTAACTGTAGGCAGTCCTTGCTTTGTAAGTAGTAGAGTAAGAGACATTCGAGAGACGCTTGTTAGACTTTTCTCAGCACTGATAACTGGCTTGCTATGAATGCCAGCCCAGTTCAGCGAGTGTTTGTGAAAGTGTTCTAAAGGACGTCTGGCAATAAGAGCTGGGCAGAGTGAAAGTGAAACTGCGCCATGTTTCTCACTGGGAGATACTGAAAAAAGTTACTAACTGCTGGATACATGGCACTCAAAAGCAGTCTCTTGGCTTTTTCTTAAACAGTGGGCAACCTTCCCTTTGAATTCTCCATTTCTATCATTCCCTCATTCTTCTGATGCATTCACATTAGCAGACAAGTCTCTATTAGGGTCTGCCAAAACAAAAATGACACTAATTATGGTTTCCAAGGTGTAGCACAGGAGTTAGCATTCTTTTGGCTTTTATCCTTCCCAGGCTCACGAAGAACAGAAATGCACACATTACCATAGAGGTGTGCTCATAAAGAAAGGTGTATACTTTAGCACAGACATTAAAAAGTGTCTATTGAGACTGAATTGAGAGCATCATTAGAGTTTAGTCACAGTATGGGCTAAATAGGTTTTTATGCTTGCCAAATAATTTACCAACTTTTACATTATTTCTTCTTTTTAAAAAAATATTTAAAACAGAGAGGGGGACTTGTTATGTTGCTCAAGGTGGTCTCAAACTTTTGGCCTCAAGCAATCCTGCCTTGGTCTCCCAAAGTGCAGGGAATACAGGTGTGGGCCACCACACCTGGCCTGTATTATTTCTATGAGAAATAATTCGTTTATAAATGATTTTTTATTACAAGAACCCGTTTATGATATTCATGAGTTTTTGCTTATTATCATTTACAGACAAGGTTTTTTTTGAGTCGGAGTCTCATTCTGTTGCCAGGCTGGAGTGCAGTGGTGCAATCTCGGCTCACAGAAACCTCTGCCTCCCAGGTTCAAGCTATTATCCTGCCTCAGCCTCCTGAGTAGCTGGGACTACAGGAATGCGCCACCATGCCCAGCTAATTTTTGTATTTTTAGTAGAGACGGGGTTTTACCATGTTGGCCAGGCTGCTCTCAATCTCTTGACCTCATGATCCGCCCGCCTTGGCCTCACAAAGTGCTGGGTTTACAGGTGTGAGCCACCACGCCCAGCCTCCAGACAAGTTTTTAAAGAAGCAAAATAAAACAAAAACACACACGTACACATGAGGTAGGAAGCCATGTGCAGGTGGCACGCCTTTATACAGGAATAAAGTGGGCTATGCTTCCAAATACTGTGATTTTAGATACATTATTATTTGGCTGTCAAAGGAACTAGTAGTATACGAAATGCAGTGCATGTGTGAGATACTGGAAAACGAAGACATAGAAGGTAAACTTCAACATGGATGGTAAATAAAGTGTTCTATTGTTAAACAAATCTGCATAACTTCCCCTAATATCTAAACAGTGGAGAATTTGAATGCATAATATCCATAAAGAATACAACCTCCAATGAGATACCAAAATGTTTTAAGTATTTTTATTTTTTAAGGTATGTTAAATCATTGGATATGTTTTAAAGGGTGCCTTCAAAAATTACGTTTCTTTTTAAGAGACGGGGTCTCACTATGTTGCCTAAGCTGGAGTGTAGTGGCTATTCACAGGTGTGATCATTGTGCACTACAGCCTTAAACTCCTGGGCTCAAGCCATCCTCCTGTCTCAGCCTCCCAAGTAGGTGGGACAACAGGTGTGTATCACTTCACCTGGCAAAAATTACCATTTAATAATGAAAAATTAGAACGTTCTATTTATCATTTTTCTCAGATGCATCACCTTAAATACAAAATCTCAACAGCTAGCAAGTCTAACCTTTTCTATTTGCTAACATTTGAATGACCACTACTGTGTGAAAATGACCCTCTATGGACTATAACTGAAGTATTACCTGGTAACTGAAGTAAGTATTTATACGGTTCTAGAAGAATTCTTTGGACTGTTTCTTGAGTCTTCTCCATTGGATTTAAACTTCAAAGCCAATCTGTCAAAAAGAAACATAAAGATCACATGAAACTAATCATCTTTGAGTATAAAACTGCAAAAGAATTTTTATTCCTTTTTTTTTTTTTTTGAGATGAGTCTCGCTCTGTCACCCAGGCTGGAGTGCAGTGGCCAGATCTCAGCTCACTGCAAGCTCCGCCTCCCGGGTTTGCGCCATTCTCCTGCCTCAGCCTCCAGAGTAGCTGGGACTACAGGCGCCTGCCAACACGCCCAGCTAGTTGTTTTTGTATTTTTTAGTAGAGACGGGATTTCACCGGGTTAGCCAGGATGGTCTCGATCTCCTGACCTCGTGATCCGCCCGTCTCGGCCTCCCAAAGTGCTGGGATTACAGGCTTGAGCCACCGCGCCCGGCCGCAGGAATTTGTATTTCAAGGTGTTTGTGAAAAAGACAGTCACCCAGTTTGGTTTAAAAAGAATTTTCTGTTGCCGCGCACGGTGGCTCACGCCTGTAATCCCAGCACTTGGGAGGCTGAGGCAGGCGGATTGCTTAAGCCCAGGAGTTTGAGGCCAGCCTGGGAAACATGGCAAAACCTTGTCTCTACTACAAATACAAAAAATTAGCTGAGGTGGGTAGATCACAAGGTCAGGAGTTCAAGACCAGCCTTCACACCATCTCTACTAAAAATACAAAAATTAGCCAAGCATGGTAGTGAGTGCCTGTAGTTCCAGCTACTTGGGAGGCTGAGGCAGAATTGCCTGGACCCAGCAGGCAGAGGTTGCAGTGAGCTGAGATCGCACCACTGCTCTCCAGCCTGGGCGAAAGAGTGAGACTCCAGTCTCAAAAAACAAAAAAAGAAGATTCTACATCTATGAAGCCTTGAAAACATGTTAAGTGAAAGAAGCCAATCTCAAGAGACTACATATTGTATGATTCCATCGATGTGAAATGTTCAGAAAAAGCCAATCTACAGAGACAGAAAGTAGATTTGTGGTTAGGAATAGGGACTAATTGCTAATGAGTACAGGGTTTCTTTTTGCAGGGATCAAAATGTTATAAAATTAATTGTGGTGATGGTTGCACAGCTCTGTGAATACATTAAAAACTGCTGAAATGTACACTTTAAATGGGTGGTATGTAAATTCTCTCTCAATTAGAAAATTCTTCATTCAAGTGATTATATTGGTCAAAGTGTTCTCTTGGTTTTTAAGTTTTCTTAGTCACGTAACTTATATTAAGCTTTTCCTATTTTATCAACCATAAACGGCGTAATTTGTTGACGGCAAATGTCAAAACAACTCCAAAGAACTGGAAAGATACCTCTGTATTTAACTGATTACACTAATTAGTAAACATATCCTTTTCTAAATGAGCACTAAGATGAGCATGTTTTATGTATTTAAAATTTAAAGGGATTCTCCTACAATCAATCAATTTCAGAGATTTCTGATTTAAGATATGCATTAACTCAAATGCAATCATATTTATTAAACATATTCCCCTTTATACCGAAATCTGCCTTATTTCAATATTTCCTACAATAACACTCACGGTCTTCCTAGGGTCTCCCTGTGCTGCTGAATCTCTACTTTATTTCTTTGTATCTGTTTCTATTATTACTTGTCCTCGTATTAGGAATCTTTTTTTAACTGCTCTAGCATCTTTGGCACATTTTGGGAAGTTTATTACTTTCATCCTCTTTCTTCTGCTTCTTGGGACTATGATTTAGTCTTTAGAATCCTGAGCCCGCTTCTAACCAACTTTTCTGGCTTCACGGCAGATACAACAAAAAGGCTAAATGTAATATGGCATCTAATGGCAGTTTGTGGTTAGGGCTGTTCAATGGGTTGCACATCATTGGTTTTTGGAATTGGAAGCCACTTTAAAAAGTTATCTCAGTATGCCAGAAGATAAAGTACGAGAATATATTTGCTTAAGTGAGGGTCACTTTTTTTGAATGAAGAAAATGAAGTTGAGTTCATGTACTTTGTGTTACTCTGATTTGTTCAAAGTTCCTTTTTTCTTTTTCTTTTTTTTTTTTGAGACGGAGTTTCGCTCTTGTTGCCCAGGCTGGAGTGCAGTGGCACGATCTCGGCTCACTGCAACCTCCCCGTCCTGGGCTCAAGTGATTCTCCTGCCTCAGCCTCCCGAATTGCAGGGATTACAGGTTCCCGCCACCACGCTCAGTTAAATTTTTTGAATTTTTAGTAGAGATGGGGTTTCACTATGTTGGCCGGGCTGGTCTCAAAACTCCTGACCTCAGATGATCCACCTGCCTCAGCCTCCCAAAGTGCTGGGATTACAGGTGTGAGCCACCATGCCCTGCCTGATCCTTTTTTTCTAAGTCTTGGCCAGAGACTTAGAAATCTTCAATTTAAATACGCATCTTGTATGATTCTGATACAGCTGCTTGAGAATGTTAGAGGAACTGGAAATAGGTTGCTTACATGGTACCACACCACACCGCAACTAAGGGGGTGTGGGCTACTGTTATTTATTATAACAGTGAGGATGTGTTCCTTGCCTTTTTTTTTTTGAGACGGCGTCTCTCTCGGCTCATTGCAACCTCTGCCTCCTGGGTTCAAGCAGTTCTCCTGACTCAGCCTCCTGAGTAGCTGGGACTACAGGTGCCCACCACCACGCCCAGCTAATTTTTCTATTTTGGTAGAGACGGGGTTTCACCAGTGTTCCTCGATTTCTAAATTTGCCCTAGTAACTTCATAATGTTAAGTAACAAAAGTCATCTTTTATAGCCCGGTCACCTGATACTATGATCGCATCACTGACACTCTCAGGCGTAAAGCGATTCTAGTACTGTAACTTCTTGCTGGTACTAAAATTAAAAATGTAAAATATACTTAGAAGCAGAATCTGACTTTTGTGGATTTATACTATAAATTAATCCACCAAAGATAAGACTTTTGCACATATTTCAGTTAATAAACACACTGATTTATATACATGTAGCCAAGCAAATCCAAAGATCCTGAGTAAATACCGACAACGTGCCACAAAAGTAAAATTTCCAAAATCTTGCACTTGTGTGTTTATTACAGACTATTCATAATAGTAAAATCAACCTAAGTGTCCATCAGTAGATGACTGAATAAAGAAAATGTGGTATATACACAATGAATTGTTATTCAGCCATTAAAACAAAATGAAATCACGTCATTTGCAGCAAAATGGATGGATAGCCCTTACCTTAAGTGTAACAAGTCAGACATAGAAAGACAAATAGTACATCTTAATTATAAATGGGAGCTAAATAATGTGTATACATGGACATGGAGCGTGGAATGACAGACAATGGAGATTCCAAAGGGTGAGAAGGTGGGAAGGAGGTGGATAATGAAAGATTACTTAATGGGTACAATGTGATTATGTGGGTGATGGACACCCTAAAAGTCCTGACTTCACTACTATGCAATCTATGCATGAGATAAAATTACACTTGTACCCCATACATTTATACAAGTAAAAATAAACAAAAAAAACCCCAAACCAAAATCTAATTATTAGTGCTAGCATTCCACTTTTCCGGCACAATTACGAGTGTAGAAGTGCTGAGACTACCCAATTTAGTGACTATCGGGTATTTAATGTTCCTGTTTTGTAGCAGTCAATGAATACAAGGGTAAAATGGTTTGAACCACATTGTCTCTGTAATGTAAATGTTCTTCTGCTGTGAAATGAGACTTGTAATATGGCAATAGGAGAAAAGAATAAAACTTCTACATATGTATGCACTGTTAGGCAGTTGGTAGGCACATGATAATGGATGGCTGAAATAATAACACACACATATAACCATCAACTATGCAAGTGCTTTGATGCTTCCCCATACTGTAAACCATCTCATGGATCACATAAACCTTTTGAGAATATGATGAAAGCTATGAATCTTCTAAAATAAAAAAAGCCTGTGTATGTGTTAATACGCTCCAACACAAATGTATGCACTGCTGCAAAGACTTACAACATATAACTTCTCAGAGATCATGTAGTCCCTGAATCGTTTACACGCACCTCAGATTAACATCCCCAGCTATTGAATATCTTTACCCTTCAATGCCAAGCAAATATTCATGTTTGTATTATAAGTTAAGACATAAATTCCACTAGCTTAACTCTTTATTGAAGGCAGATTACAAATGAAAATTAAAGCACAAAACTAGTGTATAGTTCAGGTTACTCTTCAGGATTGAAAGGCATATTTTTTTGTAGTCTGTTCTCATCTATATCAAACAATCATAAAAAAATCAGCACTCCACGAAAAGAAATCATTTTAACAAGAGAAACATTTCAAAGAGGAACATCCCACATGGGAAATTTCTACATCCACCTTGACTAGCAATTAATACCAAAGACGTCACAAGGAAAAAGAGGCTCATAAAGAATCAAATAAGTGAAATAATCAATATACCTATTGGTAATATTAGGCAAATACTTATTAAGGTAACCTATTACCTATACTATTTGATCTCTGACCCGTTACCTTATTATCAGGGATTGAAGTATAACATTAGGTAAATCCTTATTAGGTAACCTATTATCTAAACCTTTTTATCAGGGATTGAAAAAAAAAGAAGATGCAACACAGGAAAAATAATGGCTTAGATAGAAGATTATTATCGAACATCATTAAAGGTAGAATTTAAAAAGCATCTCATATACTTATCTATTTGTATGTCAGTACCTATCTTTTCTCAACTACAGGTTAGGAGCAAGAATCACGTTTGTATATTTTCTCACAGCCTCCAAAACACATTTGACTGAACTTAAAAATCAATGAGATAGAGTTTCAGAATTCCCTTTTGTGTCAGGATCTCTAGCAGGTGTACCCTGTTGCATAGAAATCAGAGCTAATCTTTGTTTCAATTTGTAGAGAGCTTTGTGGTTGATGTTATTTTTCAACTTAAAACACTAGTCATGCTTTTTTAAAAAAAATTATTTCCTTTGCTCACTTAGAGATGTTTAAGAATACTCACTTAACAAGTCAATTTCCTTTCCCAGAGGATGTTTACATACAAGTGTTTTCAGTGGTATGAAAACATAAGAACCTCAATTTTTCTAGGTAACAACCAACTTGCCTTGCGTCTTCTTAAGCCTAAAGGATTCTACACACTGCGGCACATACTCTCACTCGCCTTTGTTTTAAATCAAAGGATTTCCCAATTTATCACAGCTGGAAATTTCAGCTATCACGTACTAAACTTAAATGTAGAGGCATTAGTGTGTGTTACATGAACTCTACTAGTTTCCTTTTAGAGTGAATAAACTACTCAATACCTCAGTGAGAGTCTGAAACTTCTCACTTTCAAAACTAAAAAGCTGCCAGAAATTTGTTCAAAGGGTGAATCCATAATTATTATCACAAACGCTCCATTCCTGTCACCATGTGAACTACTACGGCAATAGCCTCCTCGTCGGGCTCCCTGTATTTGCCTCTTTAACTCTTCTTTTTTTCGCATCCTCTACTCTTCAGCCAGGGTGACATTCCAATCGGAGTCATCTCTCCCTTCTAACTGAGATTCCTTGGAAGATATCCCATTGCTATTAGGACAAAAACAAAACTCCTTCACAAAGTCTATAAGGTTCCACACTCCCCCTCATCTCCTCTCTCCAGGCTCAGTTCTTCACACCGGAAAAGCTCCCTTCCGCCACAGGGCTTTCCGACAAGTTAGTCTTTTTTTCTGGAATGTCCTTTCCTTAGTTAACTCCTGCTAGCCCTTCAGCTCTCAGCTCGATCCTCACTTGCTCAGAAACCCTTCCTTTCCCTCCCTAAATAAGCCAAATTCCCTCACATTGTCCTATCACCGCGGAACTCTCCTCTGGGGCACTGCCACTGCGGTAATTTCACATTGTTTTGTTCAGCATCTGTCCGTCTCGCCAGGCGCAGGTCTACGAAGGCAGAGGCCACCCCAGTGGTCGGCGCTCAGCAGCCATGAAAAAAAGAAAGCGCCTTCTAACGCGTTGGACGATGAAACCAGGGCAACAACCTTGCGTCTAAAAAGCGAACATCCCATGCAAACGACTTATCTTTTCAAAGGGAAGGGCCTGGTTTGAGAATGGCTAAACAGAGACATACAAATGTGAAGCGCACCCTGAATCCTTCCACTCATACTCCGGGAGAAAGACGACGGATCTCAAAGAGCCTGATATAAGCAGGGAATTTCTATCACTTCGAGACCGATTTTCCACAGCGGCTGGGCAGAGAACTGCAAACGTCTACAGTGCTAGCACAGAGTCCGGAGGGAGAGAAACGGTGAGGTTTCTGCTTCCTCCTCGCTCAGATGCTCCCTTCCGCCGCATTAGGCCAACCCTTCCTCCTCCTCCCCGCTTAAAGCTAGGGGATGGAAAATTCATACACAATCCGGTTCAGCATCCGGGTCCTCACTCTCCTTTCTTTCTTTCCTCTCTGCCCCGCCTCCCAGCCTCCCCCTCCCTCCTTCCCATCCGGGTTCCCCCCAGCCGCCGCCACTGCTGCTCACAGTTCAACGATGATATCACGACTTTCACGCCGCCGGTCCGGGAGTAGCTGTACCCCGCATTAACTTCCTATTTTATAGTGTGGGCTTAGGCTCTTCCCGATGCCTACATGGATCCCTCCCACTACTTCACCACACAACTCTCCGCCCTCCTCAGCCGCCAGCGACACCGCATTACTCGGTGCAAGAAAATGCGCCATCCCGGTCACACTGCGCAGGCGTCGTTGCCGCCTCCCTACTGCTTTGTTGCCCCGCCCCTTTCACCCCTCCCCCTCTCCGGTCCACGCTGGCGCAGGGCATTGCGGGCCTTGCAGTTCTCGCGGACGAGGATTTGCGCGTTGGCCCCAGAGGCTGGACTTCATTTCCCAGGAAGCCTTGAGGCGTAACTCTCTGTTTCCATAGAACTGGTGGGAAAATGGCGTCGTTGTTTGTATCCAGCGGCCAATAGGAACAGTGTACAGGCGGGTTCTAAAGAATTTTAACCAATCCAAGGTCGTCTAAGAGGCCATCCGGGAAAGAGGTAGGGGAGGGGGGAAAAAATCTAGGGGAGGGGAGAAAGGAAGGGGGGGGACTTAGAGTCGGGGTGGGGGGAAGCGATGTTTGCCCGTCAGTCGAGTCCGGAGTGAGGAGCTCGGTCGCCGGAGCGGAGGGAGAGTCTTGAGCTTCAGCTTGCCGCCGCCACGGCCACCGCCTGGACCTTTGCCCGCAGGGAGCTGCGGACGGTCCATCGTCGCCGTCCTCTGGAGGGCAGCGCGTTTGGGGGCCCGGACCTCCAGTCCGGGAGGGATTTTTCGTCGTCCCCCTCCCCCCAACCAGGGAGCCCGAGCGGCCGCCAAACAAAGGTACCAGTCGCCGCCGCGGGAGGAGGAGGAGCCGGAGCCTCTGCCTCAGCAGCCGCTGGACCCGCCGCCCTTCTTCCCCATCTCTCCCCCAGGCCTACTGGTTTTGGGGGGGAGGAGGAGAGAGGGAACTCTGGACGTGCCAGGGTCAGATCTCGCCTCCGAGGAAGGTAGGGACATTTTCTGGGGCTTTCGTGGTCTCCTAAGGGGGTTCTTTTGGGAGTCGCTGGGGCCGACCGAGGAGCAGAGGAAGATCGCGGTGGTGGTCCCTGCGGCACCCGAATTCGGGGCCTCGGCCTTCCGGGAGCCCGCACCCCCCGCAGCC